AGAAACACACCATAATAACATGAATCAAATATGTACTTTATTCATTTACAATAAATGTCATAATATACATCATGCTGATTGGAGCTAAGGGCATACACTGTCTAACACGATTACGGGTCTGAGAGCTGGAAGAAGAAAGAATTTAGAATGGAGTCTGGTGAGAAAATCTAGTACAGATAAGATGCAACTGTAAGAGATAAAGCCAAAGAATTTGAGTTCGTTGTTGTTTCCGGAAGCTGCTTAAGTCGGGAAGACCTGGAGGGATGATCTTTGGGAGTTGGGAGGATTTCAAAGATGTAATCTGTTCAATTGGTGATGAATGGTTTTTGTTTCTTTTGTTTTTCTATTTCTGGGTGTTTCCTGAACACCCTCTCAGAATGCATTTTTCTTTTTCTTTTAATGAAATTTTCTTTTAATCTATCAAAAAAAAAAAAAAGATCAGGATTTTTTTTTTCCATGCACTACCTCCATCTAACCTAGTTGTTTTGTGCACATCATCTTACATGCAGGTCAGTGCAAGCTATTTGAAAGGTATTACCAATAATGTCAAAGTTGAAAGCTTTTGTTCTGGAATTATCAATTTTATATATTGCAATAGGTTAGGTTGTTAAGATAATCTATTCGGGATATTATTACTGAATATTTCCTCTGATGTTGATATGATCTTAAATTTTTCTTTCTTTGTATCTTGAACAGTCGATGGACAAGAAGGGATGGTTGGATTATAAATTTTGCTTTGGACACTGGTGGAACTCCTGAGAGTGGGGGGCAAGACAGCATCAACAATGAAAGTCCTGGTCTTGGCCAGACTCGGCTGGGTAGGATAGTAACTGCTGGTGGTAGACAGCTATTGGAGAAGTTGAATGCAGCTAGAAGGAATTTTCCCATGAAAGTTTTTCTCCTCCTGTTGGGTTTCTATACTGCAAATGCACTAGCTACCATTCTAGGACAGACTGGTGACTGGGATGTATTGGTTGCTGGTGTTGTCGTTGCTGCCATTGAGGGGATTGGCATGCTTATGTACAGGAATCCCCCCTCTTTATCTACAGGGAGGTTGAAATCCTTTGTTGTGATGGTCAATTACTGGAAAGCTGGTGTTTGCCTGGGTCTTTTTGTTGATGCCTTCAAATTAGGGAGTTAAAGCAGGATTATTTTTAGAACTTGCATTTACAAGTTTAATCTTCCATGATGCCTTATATATGAAAGCTAGCTTTGCTTCATTTCTTTCCTTTTCATTTAGCTTTTAACCATTTGTGGTATAAACAAAATAATCAAAATGTACTTTACCTGCCCATTCTCTTCCTCTGTCATATGGATAGCAAAATTTGGTTTAATCAAGCAAACTTCCTTTAACCTCCAAAACATACACCACTGTTGAGGTTCTTCTCATTTTTTTCCTTCTCTCTCTTCCTCTCTCTCTCTCTCTCTCTCTCTATGGTGATCTTTCTTACTCTTCTTTGGGATAGCTTCTCTTTCTGGGCATTTGATTTAGCCAAATTTTCTTTGTTTTCTCTGCGATCCTTCTCTACTTTCCTTTTTGTGGGCAATTGTTTATTAGATTGGTGTTAAAGCTCAGTCAAATGTGAAGATCTACCATGAATGTCTTAACCAGATTGGTAATTGCCCTATCTCATTGTTTTTATTGATTACATGAAAATTAGGGTTTTATGGTTTCTTATTGTTGAAAATGTTGGTATTTTGGTATCTCTTGTGATATTTGGTATTAGAATTTAATAGTTTTATTTAATTTCTTTTTTCTTGTTTTTTACACCATAGGCCATGTATCTTGGACTCTGGATGTTATGTTGTCATTAGGACTTGGTTGATGGAGCGTTGAAAGGCATGAAGTTTGTAAAACAGAGGACACTTTAGGGAATGTAATTCAACAAGTATGCACCATGGCCATGTAAAGGAACCAGTGCATGCTTAGTAATTGTTATCCATATTGTGTTCACCAAACTACTTAAAGAAGAAGCCAAGAATCATTGTTTCTCTTGTATACAGATGATTAGTTGCCTTATATTGAAAGAGTTCTGCATTTAGATACATAAATGGGGAGGGGGGCCTTTTTTCATGGTGCACCAAATTCATGTCTGTCCTATCTTATGATCCTTGACGTTGCAATATGTTTACCATGATAAAGTATGATGTTGTTTTCTTATGACTCGTGACTATGGTGGAATATCTAGATCTTTTGCCCTCTAGACATTGATGGTGGTGCCAATTGATCAGTTTTAGGAGTTTCTTATTGGCTTATCATATCTATTGATTGTTAATTAAGGTTGTGTTTAGTACCATTGCTATTTCTACCTGAAATGTTTTGGGTTGATCAAGAGATGTGTTGCACATCACATGTGAGAGTTACTTCAGCTAGAATGATTAAGACTTCAGCTCAAGAAACACCAATTTGATGTTTCTGCAAACAGCCTCTCACATGCATTTTTAAGGTATGCCTATTTTAACCACAACCAGCCTCAAATAACAATTGTATGTCAATTTATATTGATCAACCCAAAGCATTTCAGATAGAAACAACAATGGTACCAAACACAACCTAAGATATTCATAGTATTTCATTGTTTGTTATTGGCTACACATCTGTTGATTGTGAAATTTGTATCCTGATTATATTTTAGAGAAGGGACTTCGACCACATTATCAGAGATCGATTGGTAACCTTATGAGAAAAATCTCGCAGGACTTGCCTAGCCAGCTATTTAGAGAACCCTTTCTTCGAAGGCACCATGTTGCACAGAGGGAAAGTTAGAGGAGAATGAAAAATTAGAAACCTCATCTCAAAACAGAACCAGAAATCTGAAATCCTTTTCTTTCTTTAGACATAAAACCCTCTCATGTTGGGCACGGGATAAAGAGAAGAATTCTAAAATCAAGGGTTGAAAATTCCTCTATATTCTTTAGAGATTTAAATATTGGAAAAGAAAGTAGGTAGCTTTAAAAATGATTTTAATAAATAATATCCATTGCAGTGTTCTCTAATTGCAATGCACAAGTATCTAATTCCGGTGCAACCATATTGGCCTATAAAATTGCACCATATGAAATATAATATACTATATTAATATATACTATAATATAGTATATAATATAATATATGATTAGTTACCATATTATATATACCAAGGTTCAAAGTATTGATACATATCGGCCCGTACCGGCCGATATGTATTGTGCCGGTGGCTTCTCGATATGCCCCTACAGGGGTTGTATTCGGTCAACCACTGGTTCAGAGGGTAGTTGGGGCCTTAAACCGGCCCCTTTGAACCAATTTCAAAAAAAAAAAAAAAACAAGTAAAACAAAAAAAAAAGCACTGAGGCCTGTGTCAGTACTTTGAACCTTGGTATATATTATATAGTATGATATATTATACTATAATATTAATATATTAATATACATATTATATAATATTTATAGTATCATATATTAATACTATATTATAGTATATTATACTAGTATAACATAATATTATAGTATAATATATAGTATATGATATAATATGATAGTATATTAATATATTATATATATGGTATTAATATATGATAGTATTATATATAATATTATAATATTAATATTATAGTATATTATAATATTATTCTAATCATATTATTATTAATATATTATGTTTGTATGTATTATAATTATTTTATATAATAGTATTATTATACTATATAATATAATATATACTATATACTATAATAGTATATAATATACTATAATAGTGTAAATATTATATTATTATAATATAGTATAGATATTATTAGTATAATAGTATACTATAATATATGGTTTATTATAATATATTATATAATAGATTAATTGATATATTATAATATTATAGTATAATAATCATATTATATATGATAATATTAATATAATAGTTTATCGTAATATTTTTATAATCATATTATTATTAATATATCCTTTGAGATTTATATTTGCCCTTGAATCAAATAGTGTTATACATCTAAGATTAATAAGTTGTTCGCTTATTCTCTCCATATCATTGGAGTTTCCTATAAAATGACTCAATATTTTAATACTAGAGTAGTTACCACATCCTGAATGGGTTGGCCTTGACTTAAGACCATTTCACTACCTTCATCTCTTTTTATAGAATTAAGGATATAATCCCTTTCTTCTTGAGTTAGGTAATTGAGCCACCATCTTTCAAGTTGTTCGGTGAAAGACTCAATTATTATTGTGGCTATTAACTTTTTTTCATTTCTTGCCAATTTATTGGCACTAGCATACATGGTCATATGATGAACCATCTCATGAATCTGGTATTCAGATTTTCCATTTAGATTTCATTTGTAAAAGGTATTCCCATCATAACTAATCTGTGATTTAACTAGTTCTTCAAACAATATGTCTACTAGCGTATGCCTAGGGTAATAGGGCTTTTTACTTTTGTATGAGAGCTTATTTAGCTCTATTAAGTGATTTTCTAGAAATCCTTTTTCTGAGTCCAATTCGATTTCAGATCCTTCACTCAATAAATTTATTGAGTGTGAATCAAATGCTTTTTCTATTTTCTCTATTTTAGAGAATTTAGATTTTTCTCCTTTTTCCCATTTAGATGATGAAATTAATTTTGTAAATAGCCCCTTATAACCTACTTTAGATAAATCTAGAAGCTTTCTTAATTTCCATATTAGGAGGGAATTCAATTATTATTCCCATAGGTTTTTCTTTCTTAATTATCATTCTTTGTTTAGAGTTTTTTAATGAAATTAATAATATTTTTATCCTATTAGTTTGTTTTCCTAGGATATTTAGGCATATATTAGTGTAATTATTTTATTCTGTTATTTGAAACAGTGTTAAGGTATTATTGTCTCAGCTTCTTTTATTATATTAGAATTTTTTATAAAGCTAGTTATCGGTTTTTCTTTGCCTATTTTAATGGCTTCTAAAGGCGGATATAATGATTCTATAGTTTTACCTGTAGACATAATTTTCCATGCTCTAGATAATTTTTCTGTTACACAAAGCTCTAATTCCTCTGTTGGTGGTTTTATGTGCTTGAATTATTTTTACTTTATAAGCCAATCCCAGAAGGGAATATTTTCTTTTATTTCTAACATATTTTCATACCATAGTTCTCGGGTACATTCTTTCTCATTTTTAGAGAAATTTTCAAAGAACCATTTTTTCTTTATTGGTTGTAAATTAAAGTCTAACCTTTTTAGGTCTTTATCTATTTAGATTTCTTCTTCAATTTCCAAGATATTTATCTCAAAATCTACTTCAATTGGTTTGTAACATTTTACTGAGGGATTACCTCTTTGAACTACGTGGTAGTCTGAAGGTGGTGTATCTAATATAAGAGTTTCATAGGTAGCATATATAATGCCAAGAGGAGGACGAGGTGGTTCTGATAAATCTACTGATCTTCTTGAATGAGAAGATTTTGCCTCTAATGGTTCAGCATATGAGGGCCTCGAAGAAGTAGAGGCTCTTCTGAACCGCAGCTCAATGGATCCATCCTGTTCGTTGAATACATATGCTAATTCAGTGGACTTCATGGGTCTAGGAGGTTTTGCAGCTATTGACCAACTGTTCGGTAGTTTTACATCTTTCCACATAATTTGCATAGGAATAGTTATATTATTCCTAGTGTTGGTCTGGAACATGGTAGTTACCCCCTTGTTCTGGTGATCCTAGTATTAGGACAGATTGTATTCATAGTCTTAAAATAGACTCTATAGACTAATGCTACATTCTCTGATCCAAGTTTCATATTGAAGCCTTGGGTCTATAGTCTTAAGGTTAAGGCTTCATGTATCCCTACGTCCGTCAGCAACACTGAGAAATTAGGAAAGCATTAAAGTATATTGGCCCTTGATGAAGATTTCCTTCTATTACTCCTTTGAAGGAATCACTGAATTTATTATGCCTTGTTATGCCTTGAACCTGTTAGACAGGCCCAACCTTGTTAATGGTTTTATGGCTACTTGTATTAGGCCAAAGTGTATGAAATGACAATCTACTTTTTTTTTTTTGTTTTTCTATAGGCCTCTATCACCTTTCTATCTATAAGATGAAAATCTTCTGAGTCATTGCCTAGAGCGACAATTCTTTTTACCATTCTAATGTTAAGTCTCTCTTTAGACTAAATACTCCTTTTTTACTTGATATTACTATAGTTGATCTCTTCCATGTTTTTTTATAGACATAGACTTTGTAAGGGATGAGCTTGTACTACATTCCTCAAGACTATATCCATTACTAGATCTTGACCTAAACAATCTCCTCATCTTATCCTTCCCCTTAATTGTTAACAGACAGTCAACTTCAATGGCTTTTCACCAATCCTTTTCAACCAGAAGCAACTTTGCCTAGGGTGCAAGGGTTCTAGCCTCGGGGAACTATTAGGTGACTAGTCTAACAAATTGGGTGCTAGCCAAGTGATTTCACCGAGTGAATTGCAGCTTTGGGTTCTAGCCAAAGGTTCTAGGCAGTACCTAATGATTTAATAATCCCGATTCTTGTAGGGTTATGGCTCTTATACCAAATGGGAATAGGCAAATTAAGGCTAGGATAATAAGAGGATGGAAGGATGGAATATAGCAATACGCATATGTAGAAAACAGTAAAACAAATAGTAAAGTATGATGTTGCTAGATGATGTTTTAGTAAAACAAATAGTGAAGTAGAGTAAAAGCTTCGATAAAGATTTAGACTAAAAAGTAATTCTAAACTTACAAAATACTTAAGGTAAAGTATAGTCGTAAAACACTTACAATGCTTTAGTACAAAGAACTTCACTAAGCAGTATTACTGAAATGTTACAAAATTCTTACTCAAGGATTTTTGCAAAAACTACAATAAAGACTTAGCACACTTAAGGGTTTATGACTACTGGACTCTTGAACACTTGGATAACTTCAACACACCCTTTTCTTGAGGATTGATCCTTATTTATAGATAGGAGAGTGACTTCGAGATATCTTTTTTTTTTCATATTTGAACTTATCTTGAGAATATCTATTTAAGACACCTATTTTTTTGCTTGTCTTTTTTAGACAAAGTGATAAGCTAGAGATGCTTCTTTTATCTTCAATGAATCTTTACTGTGGAGCATTATTGACAAATATTTATTGTTGAAGATAAGAGTGAACTTTTTAGTGGTAGACTAT